GGCAGGCGCGGGAGTGGCCGTAGCCGCGGGGCTTAGGCGATGGCCCCGCCCCCGGATTGTGGCCCCGCCCTCACGCTCCGCCCACCCCGGAACAGCCCCCTCTTCTTCCCGCCGCACCCGCTTCCTTTCAAAACCCAGCCAAACCGCAGCCGTTCGGATTAGGAGGGAGCCGCGGGCGGGGGCGGGTCGCCGCGGCTCATCCTCCCCGGCGCAGGGACGCGGCGGGCGTGGGAAGAGGAAGAGGGAGCGCCGTCTAGGTCGCACCGGGCCGACACGCGCGACCAGCAGTGGAGTGGGCACGAGCTTTTTCCTCTGTGGGCATCTCTTATCCCGCGAGCATTCCCGCGATTACTGTGTAGGGAGGCACGCTGCGCTCGGTTGTTTGAAAATTAAGGAGAAAGATTTTTACATAACAATTGTCTATCTCTGCTCTCATTTGAGCCGCTCCCATTATGGAAAATACGTCCAAACATTTCCAGCAACGATGTGATTTTTCAAAACTCGTTCGCTCATAACGCGCCTTGCAAATACTCCCAAGGTAGCTCTGGGTGTCCAGTCGCTTAAGCGTTTCCTTCTAGCTAGCTAGCTAGATAGATAGATAAATCCGGTCTAGGAGTAAACCTACAGTGTCCTGGTCCTTAGCTCATTGTCATTATTTTTACTCACTGATGTGCTTAGGTCACTGACAACACGCACACTAAGGATCAGAGTGCTTTTTGAAATGGAATCTTTGTCCTAAGCACTGATAAAATTGAGAGTTTTCTCTGCGTCTTTCCCTCCTTACTGCCCTTCTGAAACAGGACCTTCCAGCATGCTTAAAGGAATGTGGGCAAGCTGTGAGTATACTCAGAACACCCGCTGGGACCAGCAGAAGCTGTTATGGTAACGTCCTAGACTCCCATCTAGTTGACTGTAGTTGGGCTCCCAGACCCGCAGCTTAAACTCACACCAGGCTCGTGTAAGTGTGTGCCCAAAATCCCAAGAGGAGAATGGAAAAAGGTTTGTGGGGTGGCCATCCTCCTGAAGGTGATTTCTCACTTCCTGTCTCTGTCTCTCCAGCAAACACACTCGCCCTATAGCACAAATCTCTCAACAACAACAACAAAAAACCCACCAAGCAAAAGGGAGGGGGTGTGTGCTGTGGATTTTTACAGCATGAGTTTCTTCCTTCACCTGGAAGCCATTACTTTTGAAAGAAGGATGATTTGTCTTTTCACTAAGTCCTCCATGCTGTCCGTGAACTATTAGAAACATTTGCACCACTGTGAGATTCCTAAGGACAGAAGCTCAGGCCAGTGCATAGGGCTGCCACTGAAGGATAGAGCCCCTGCCCTTGGAAGCCAAAGGCAGGTATTCCTGGCCTGGGCTGTTGGCAACACACCTTGCAGCCTGGCAGGCTTCCTAAGCTGCCTTTCCTCATTTTATACCTACATAACAGAAGAGGTACAGAAGAAAGCAATCCACGTGGGTTTAAAACTTTAGAAGGAGACAATTCCTGGCCTAGAAATTAAACTATAAATTATAAGTTGTAGCTACAGCCAGGTATCTATTGGTAGGCCCCAATACAAAATTAAAATGCTGGGATGTTTTCTGAAACTCATTAAGAATTTCAAAATGGTGAGGCCTGCAGGTGGCGTGGTGGTTAAGGGGCTGGACTCCCACATGACTGACTGCGGTTTGAGTTTGAGACCTGGCAGCTTGCTTTCTCCCTTTCCCTTTCTCCCTCTCTCTCTCTCTGCTCAAATTTAAAAAATAAATAATGATAACAAATAAAAATTTTAAATTTTTTTTTTTTTAAAAGGGAATTTCAAAATGGCAACAGCAGAGTATTAATAGTGAAATCCTCCTAAACACTTGTAAAACATGGCCTGGTTTGGGAACTTAGAATGTAATGAAATACTTGACCTAAGATAGCTATTGAAAATGTAAACTATCATTCCAAAGTTGATCATGTTTTATTTTCCCCACAGATTGAGTATGCTAGTTCATAAACAGGATCACTTTGAACATCATGTCTGAATTGGATATTGTTAGGGTGGTCTTTGTCATGAGCTGTGAAGAATTCAGAAACTCCAAGAGCGAACAGATAGAAAAGAATGTTCACTGTCCAGAAGAGAAAAGGGGCCACATGCAAAGAATCGCATTGGCTCGGAAGAGTGTGGGCAAGGAGATTTTATTGGGACGTAAGGAGAGGGGACTTGTGATTGAATAATTAGGGTGATCTTGGGACAGGACTTCTGTCTGTCCTTGGGTTGTTTTGCTGTCTCTGGATGTCGCACCTGGCTGCTGTAGTCTGCCCTGTGCTCTGTCCTTAGTTTTGGTGCCAACTGCTGAGGACGTTACGATCTTTATGTCTGAAGGCAAGAGCTTGCAAAAATACAAGGACAGCCTTTGACGATGACATCGTGAAAGGGCCAACTACCAGAAGAAAAACGGAGAAGAAAGAATGTCCAACACACACACACGAGAGTTTTAGATGGCCCTTTCTAATTAAAACAGCTCAGGTGCCAGGAGATGCTGAGTTAACTTTTGTTCATCCCTAAGGAGCTTGGGGAACATTGAACTCTCAGATATCTGCATGTGGCTCTCCAGAAATAAAATACAACCCACTTGTTGAAATGGAAGAGACCTGATTAACCATCTACCAAGCCCCTTATTTCACAGAAGAGAAATGATTAGAGCCTTGCTTGCTCGACATCTTGCATCTACTGCGTGCCAGGGTTGTGGCCGAAGGTTGTAAAATAACCCTTCCCAGACTTTTCCTAACACTTACATGCTTAACACATTCTCTAGATGTCTAACTTTCACTTAACTCCATTTATATGCATTTGCACATCTCATTGAAGAAAAGAAAAGAAGGATAGATGGAAGGGAAAGAAGGAGAAAAGGAAGAAAGGAAAAGAAAAAAGAAAGGGAGGAAGGAAAAACAGAAAGAAAATCAAGCTTAAATTATTTTCCAGGTCTAATCCTACAGATTTCTTTTTTATCTATTCTTGGTTTTGTGTGTGTGTGTTTGTGTGCTTTTGTTTTTTCATCTGTGATCAAGAGCCAATAGGTATCTTGTTTCCAGTTTGTCTTTTTTTTTTAATTTTGCTCTAATGTATGTGCGCTCACCAGAGAGAAAGAAAGTGAGAAAGCATACCCAAAGGGGGGCTGGCCATGCCGAAATCCTTTCCTCATTCTCCTCTCTGGATTCTGGGCACACATGCATACACACCTGGCATGTCTTTCAAGCCACCAGGTGCAGGACACAAGCTACTCAGTAGGCCATGTGGGATCTAGCCACTACAACCACCATGCCACCAGATGGCCGCAGATTAGTTTTTAAATACAATTGAAAAAGCTTGGGAACCAGCAGTTAGCGTAATGGCTATGTCGCTGGACTCCCACGTAGTCGACCATGGTTCGCGTCCCGAACCTGGTGGCTTAAAACTCACGCTGGGCGCGTGTGCGTGCGTGCCCAAGATCCCAAGAGAAGAATGGAGGAGAAGGGATTGCGGTGTGACCATCCCCCCTGAGGGGTGATTTCTCGCTTTCTGTCTCTCTGTCTCTCTCTGTCTGTCTGGCGAGCACACGCGCCATATAGCAAAAAAACCTCTCCAAAAAAAAAACAAAGGCTTTCACATGCACATTTACAAAAAAAAAAATTCACTATTTGAAGGGCCACCCCCGCCAGCACACATGCCCTCTGGCAATAAACAAATGAACAAATAAATAAATAAAAGTTCATTGCTTTCTTTTAAATGTGAGCACTCCAATATAATGAAAATATTGCATTATAAAGGAAGATCATATTTCGACTGGGGAAATAAAATTGATATTGCAAAAGGAAGTGATCTTCCCATTTCTTTTTTCAGGAATAACATAGAAAGGAGAAATCATTGTAACAATGAATAGCTTTTCCTCGATTTAGCCCAGTCGTGAGGTGGGCACGTTCCCTGTGTCCTCTCATCCAATGTCCACAATGAGTTTGTATTTCAGGAAATGTTGTTAACGATCCTCCCTTCAAAGCTAAGGAGGCTTGGATTGGAAGGGTTAAGTCATTTACCTCTGTCACACACAGCTGCTCTCTGGCCCTGCCAGGATGCAAATCCCGGATCAGCTCGATCCAGGCCTACACTTGCAACCTTTGCAATCCAGAGAACAAGTCTGTCTGCTCTTCTTTCCCTGTAAGTCTTGTTCTCGTGTTCTGTCAGTGAGTGCTTAACCTCGCCTGTTCTAACTCGGGGACTGCTTACACGCTTTTTTCTTCAGAGGGAATAATGTATTTATTTATGGAAATCGGTTATAAACCAGGGCTCACAGGCCCAAATTTACTACCTTATAAAATATGCTGTCCTTTCTGGTTTTGTTTGTATTTTTTTTCCCCCAGTCTCTCAGAATTCAGTTAATCATTCCCCTCAGTAGAAACCTTTCCTGTTTTCCTCTGTGGTAATTTTCATTATCGTCATTTGAAGACGACTCGGTTGGCTGGGATTTACTCTAATTAGTGTGGCGCATACTTCCGCAGAAGGTCTTTGTACAGTCTCTCTGTGATTCGGATGAAGTCATCTATCCTTCTGAGAAATTATATTTAGGAGATAAGCACACAGTTCTTTCAAAAAAAAAAAACACATCTGCAAGAAAAGAAAGTGATATTTTACACAATGGAGGACGAAGATCAACAGTTAAGTGCCATGTTCCTAGGGCTGAGCTGAAAGTGAGAGGCTGCAGGCAAGAACCAGTCATTGAAGGTTTCGTAAAAGGATCCTAGCCTTGCTTATCAAAGCGTCTAGGTCTGCAGGACAGAAGGGGCAGAAGCCTGGAGTGAAATTGGTCTA